CCTTTTCATGATGGGCTGGGGGGGGAGAGGGGGGGGGGTTCGTGACCCCCCCCCGTTTTCGAGGGGGGGGGGACGGGTTAGGAACCCCCAGTGACCCCCCCCGGTTTTCCGCCAGCAGCGGTAGAACACGCTCCATCATACATACGTACCTACCTACCTACCTACCTGCCTATCTACATACAACATACATACATACATACATACATACATACATACATACATACATACATACATACATACATACATACATACATACATACATACATACATACATACATATATACATGTATGCATGCATGCATGCATGCATGCATGCATGCATGCATGCATACATACATGCATACATGCATACATGCATACATGCATACATGCATACATGCATACATGCATACATGCATACATGCATACATGCATACACACATACACACATGCATGCATGCATGCATACATGCATACATGCATACATGCATACATGCATACATACATACATATATACACATACATACATACATGCATGCATACATACATAGATGCATACATACATACATACATACATGAATACATACATACATACATACATACATATATACATACATACATACATACATACATACATACATACATACATACATACATACATACATACATGCATGCATGCATGCATGCATGCATGCATACATACATACATACATGCATACACGCATGCATACATACATACATGTATACATGCATACGTGAATACATGCATGCATGAACACCTACACACATGCGTGCACGCATCCGTACATACATACATACATACATACCTACATACATGCATGCATACATACATACATACATACATACATACATACAGACATGCATCCATACATACATACATACATACATGCATACATGAATGCATACATACATACATACATGCATACATACATGCATACATGCAAACAGTTACACACATCCATGCATGCATACATGCATGTATACATACATACATACATGCATGCATGCATGCATTCATGCATGCATACATACATACATGCATACATATATACATGCATGTGCATGTGCATGTGCATGTGCATGTGCATGTGCATGTGCATGTGCATGTGCATGTGCATGTGCATGTGCATGTGCATACATACAAACATACCTACATGCATACATACATATATACATATATACATACATGCATACATACATGTGTACACATGTATATGCATACATGCATGCATACATGCATTCATTTATGCATGCAAACATACATACATGTACGCACCTACCTACACATATGTTTGTACAAGTCTTCATATATACATATAAAAACACATCACCAGCCCTTTGGGCGTGTGGTCTAACGATATGTTTCGCTACTCTGCGAAATCCGTTGTGCCGTTCGGGGAGAGGTATCCTCCCCCTCCCCTCCCTGAGTTTTGTTGGGTAGGGGGGGCGAGGGGTTAGAGCGCCCAAGATGACCCAATATGGCTCCAAGAGGGCCTCCGATCCGAGGTGACCTCCCAAATGGCTCAAGACGACCGAAGATGGTTCAAGACAGCTTCCGTCATGCCTCCAGGAGAACCCAAGAGGACCGTAAGTTACAAGTGCTCTCGGAGACCCCATCTGGACCCCTCCAAGAAGCCAAAATCGTTCAAATACCAGCGGAACATAAATGATCAGTGCCTTCTCGCATTTTCGCTTCTGCTGTGTTTTCACGCATCAAGATTGCCCAAAGATGGCCCACAGAAGTCCCAAGAGGGGCCTCAAAGGCCTCCCAGACGGCGCCAAAAGCGCCTAAGAGCGACCCAAGAGGGCTCCAAGAGGGGGTTTCGAGGGCCGCAGAAAGGGGGGGGCCTAGACATGGGACCCCCCCCCCCTTTGATCGATGGCCTCCAGGACAGCACCCGGTGGCCCTCAGGGCTTCCGGGAGAGCCCCAAGAGGGCCCCGAGAGGGCCCGAAGACCCTCCAAGGGAGCCTCAAGAGGACCCCAACAGTCCCCCCAACAAAAACCCGAGAGGGCCCCAAGAGGGCCCCGAGAGAGCCACAAGATGACCCCAAGAGGGCCCCGAGAGAGCCACAAGAGGACCCCAAGAGGGCCCCGAGAGAGCCACAAGAGGACCCAAAGAAGGCCTCAAGGAAACCCCAAGATGGCCGCCAGAGTCCTCGTCCTCATCCTTCTTTCCCTCCTCGTCCTCCTCCTCCTTCTCTCCTCCTCCTCCTCGTCCTCGTCCTCGTCCTCCTCCTCTCCTCCGCCTCCTCGTCCTGCTCCTCGTCATCCTTTTCGTCCTTGTCCTCTTCCTCGTTCTCGTTTTCGTCCTCCTCCTTCTCCTCGTCCTTGCCCTCGTCGTCCTCCTCTTCCTTTTCCTCGTCCTCCTCCTCCTCCTCGTCCTCTCTTTGTCGTCCATCTGCTCCTCCTCCTCCTCCTCCTCCTCCTCCTCCTCCTCCTCCTCTTCCTCCTCCTCCTCCTCCTCCTCCTCCCCACCTGCTCCGCATCCTCAGCCCACAATAGTTGCTCGCTGTGATTCACTCTAGCGCCTCTTCTTCCCATTGCCCATTGAATGAGCTGGTTGGGAAACGCGCGAAACGTGAAGAATATTTCGATAGAGAAGAGAGTGTGTGTGAGAGAGAGAGAGACAGAGAGATAGAGAGAAAGAGAGAGAGAGAGAACAACAACCAGAACATACACACAGCATCCTCCTCTTCTTCCTCCAGGCCCTCCCGCCCGCTGCTCGTGCACCTCCGCCCCGTTCCCGTCGCCCCCCCCCCCCGTGGAGCGGGGCCCCACGAACAGAGCCGTGGGCAGCCACGGGCGCCTCCGCCGGTCGAGCCCCGGCCCGCGATCGGCACCCGGCCGCCGCCAGCTGGCGGGTCGGCTGACATCCGGGCGACTTGACTGGCAGAGGCGGGGCCTTGCTTTTACGTCGAGGGGCGGGGGTGCGCCTCCCCCCCCAGGGGAGCGACCCGTGGCTGGACTGGGCCCCGCCGCTCCTCCTCCTCCTCCTCCTCCTCCTCCTCCTCCTCCTCCTCCTCCTCCTCCTCCTCCTCCTCCTCCTCCTCCTCCTCCTCCTCCTCCTCCTCCTCCTCATCCTCCCTCCCTCCTCCCTCCCTCCCTCCCTCCCCCTTCCCTCCCTCCCCCCCCCCCTCCCTCCTTCCCCCTCCCTCGCTCCCCCCCTCCCTCCCTTCCTCGAGAGAAGAAGGACAGAGACAGACAGACAGGCAGAGGGAGGCCCCAATCCGCTCCACCGCTGCCCACCCAACGTGCCGAGTCCGCGCGGCGCCAGGCGCCGGGCGCGGCAGGGGGGGGCGCGAGGAGACGGCAGAGACGGGGGGGGAAGGGGAGGACGACGATAAAGGGGCCCCAAACACACAAATAAATACACACAACTAAAAAGATTCCCCATATTTCCCCATACTTCCTTGGTTTTTGTCTTCCCCCCCACTTCCCGTAGTTTCGCATATTTTCCATGGGATCGACGATTAATTGTGTCTGTATGTTTTATTCCCCTCCTGAGACGACGACGACGACGACGACGACGACGACGACGACGACGACGACGACAAGTAGGCCCACTTCCTTGTCGTCGCCACCCTCCCCTCCAACTCCGCCCGCTCCTTCCGCTTCTGCTGCTGTTCGCCCTCGCCATCCTCCTTCCGCATCCTCTCCCAGGTCCGCTAGTGCACGCGTCCGCATGCAGAGACAAGACAGCGCAGTGGGAAACGATGGGTGGGAAGGGTAGAGCGTCAACTGTGGCGCGAGCGCACCTGGTTTGCCTCCCCTCCCCTCTCGCCTCCCCGTCCTCCCCCCCCTCTCCTTTGTCACGTTTGCGGGGGAAGATGTCGTGACAACTCAGGGCCGCAATTCGTGACACATCTTGGCCATACTGTCGGCCACGTTCGCAAGACACCGCTGTATATTCCGCCTCGTTCCCAGGCTGAAGCCCGGGCGCCGCCAGACCCGCCGGGCAGTCTGGTTCCCGGAATGGCTTCCGGAAACATGAATTCAGATGTTCCCCGAAAGGTTCCTGGGAACATCTAGTGGAGTGTAAACGCATGGTGGACATCCAGTGTCTAGGACTGATGGGTATAGGAGTCAGCAGCCTTGTAGCATAGATATGCGCAGGCTATCGGGGCAACGCAGTGCGACCCTACGCCCGCATGAACCTGGGAGCGGAGAGCCACTCAAATGCGTGGCGAACTCACGCCTTGATTCGAGAGGTTGTTAAATTTAGGTGTCCGCTGATAGTTAGCTCAAAGTCTGAGGTGGGGAAAAAAACGATTGCGCCTCCCACCTCTCCTGGTGGCCCGTGGTGGCCGCAGCACCCGTGGAGGCCGTAGCCGGGCCTCCCTGATCAACTCTTGGGAGGGTCGGCTTGCCGAGGCAGCCGACTACCTCCTGTCTGGTTACGTCTGGCCTCACTGGCCGAGCTGATAAACTACCTGACTGCCGTCACCGAGAGTTGTCGGGAGACCGACGTTCTCCTCCTCCTCCTCCTCCTTCTCCTCCTCCTCCTCCTCCTCCTCTTCCTCCTCCTCCTCCTACTCCTGAGTCCGAGATCAGCGATGACTGATCATCTGATGTATTCTGCGCGCCCGCTGGTGGACCAGCAGACGCTGGTATCCACAAGTGTTGCCGTCCCCTCCCCAACCCTCGCCCCCCCCTGGGGGGGAAGAGCGCGTCAGGGATGGGGCGGCGACATTGGAGGAGGAGGTGAAAAGTGTGGAGAACAACGTGGAAGAGCGGGGGCGAGGAGGTAGGAGGCGAGGTAAGGTGACGTGAGGTGACTTGGAAGGGGACAGACAGAGGAGGAGCATGAGGCGTAGGAGGAGGAGGAAGAGGAGGAGGAGGGGAAAGCAGGAGGAGAATGAGCAGCAGCCAAGTAATGCGGAGGAGGAGGAGGCGGAGCAGGAGGAGGAGGAGAACGCACAAAAGGGGCACGGGAAAGAGGAGGGAGATAGGATGGACACAAGAGAATGGCAAGAAGGCCGCAACATGTCTGGCCTGGCGTCACTCCCCGGGCCCGAACACCTCCACGCTGCCATCGGCGCAGGCAGCGGCCAACACCCGTCCTCCGCGATCAAGGAGGGGGACGAGCAGGAACAGCAGCAGAAGAACGGGAGGAACGGCAGCGGCAGCGTTGGCAGGAGGCTCACTGGATGCGCCCACTGACGTCCTCTGCGCCCCCAGGCCACGAAGCCGCCTCCCAGGCGAGAGGCCGAATATCTGAACGGGAAAGGGAGGGAGCGTGTGTCTGATGTGTGTCCGCCACCGTGCGTTCAGCACGAAGTCGAGAGGGTACGAAGATTGCATAATCTAGAGGTCAAAAAATCCACCCCGATAATAACCACCCCGACACGCGAGGTCGTTTAGCAAACGCACCCAAAGAAGGAATCGAGCAGGGCAGGGCTGTTTAGTAAGCGCCCAGGGCCGTTTGATAAACGCCAATTGTCCGGTCCGGGTGGTTTTTCCTCCCTTGATAACAAGGCCCCGTCACCCGGTTTCACGGAAATCCGGGGCGTTCGCGGGCGTTCCCGGGATTCCCTTCATGGCTTTGCCCCGAGGCGCCAGGCCCCCGAGACGGGCCAAGAGGGTCGCAGGAGGGCCCCGATTGCGGTCGAAGAGGGCCCGTTCCGAGACGCCCCCACGACTGCCCCAAGACGGTCCCAGAGGCCCAAGGACTCACCAAAAGAACCCCGGGAGGACCCCCGAGCGATTCCCAAAAGGCTTCAACCGTTGGCGTCCCTTCGGTTGTTGAGAAGTGCTACCGCTCTCGCCTTTTCGGGCGTCCAACGCTCCAAGAGGACCAGATAGGCCCCAAATCTCGCCACAAGACGGCCCAAGAGGCCCCAAAGATCAAAGTTGGCCCAAGAGGCCCCGCCCCAAAGACGGCCCAGAAGCCCCCAAGAGGGCCGCAACAGGGGGGGGGGACGAACTGGCATGTCGAACCCTCCACCCCAAGAGGACCCCCGAGACCGCCGGAGAGCCCCCAGGAGGCCCCCGAGAGCCCCCCAGCAGGCCTCAGGAGACCCCCGCGAGGCCCGCAAAACGCCTCCGGGAGCCCTCCCGGAGGACACCGAGAAGAGGCACTCTCGGAGACCCGTGGTGTGCATCTAAGAGGCCTCTGGTCCACGACCCAGGCAACGTGACGCAAAGTGGGCCGAAGACCGTTACAGTCCGCCGCCCTGGGGTTGATTTACGGTGGGGTCATTGGATAAGGAACTGTTATTTTCTTATCAGGAAGCTTCGGGGACCGATTCACGATGTTTGAACTCGCTGGCTGGTCATCAACACAGACATTCAGCTGTACTCGCAATCGCCTCGCTGTCACGCCCCAGAAGCGCGGTCCCTGAAATGGGTAAAACAGCCTGCCCCCAGACGGACCGAGAACGGGATTTCCGCGGTCACCCCCTCAGTCGAGGCGCCGCCTGAAACCGAAACTCTCTAGCGAACTCATCCCTCGTTGGATAAGGAACCCTTAGATAAGGAGTCCAGGGTCTGGAGGCCAGGGGAACTCCAATCGAGGCTTGGCCATGGATATCACCGCCGCCCTCATCAGACAAGGAATCCTCCAGGGTCTGCAGCCTCCTGGGCGCATTCCTGCACCAACGCCCCCAGCGTATCATGGGGGTGCCTGGCGTGCCGGATATCTTACGGCCTGGCTTTGATTCCTTTCCAAGAGAGCTGCCCCATGGGGCTTCGGCCCGCTGCGCCAGGGTGCCCCTCCCGTCGGCTTCTTCGGTAAAGGTTGCCTCAATCTGACCTCCATGCCGGCCAAGATGCTTCCAAGACGGCCAGGACGGTCCCAGGAGAGCCCAAGATAGCCCCGAGATGGCCTCCAAGATGGTCCAAAGATGCCTCCAAGATCGCCAACATGGTCCAAGAGAGCCCAAGACGGCCCGAGAGGCCTGGCCGAAGAGGCCTCCAAAATATTCAGGATTCTGTACCTTGATTCGCGGCGTTGAAGTCCCAGGAATGGCGTTCTGCCACGATTCAGGAACGTCAAGACGCAACAGTCAGGCTGATCCGTGGCGTTGGAATCCCGAGAGCAATGCTTTGGCATGCTTCAGAGTCTTCAACGGCTGTCTTCCGACGAGGCAGTTCGCTCAGTGGAAATGAACCGTAGTAGGGGCCTACGGAGAGGGAGCTTGGAGGGAGGCTATATTCCAACATCGTTGATGACGCTTGGGTTCACACTGGTCCTCCTCCTGCTCCTCCTCCTCCTCCTCCTCCTCCTCCTCCTTCTCCTCAGGCGACAGGCGAGCAGAACGCACTGAGGCATAGCTCACAGCCGACCTGTGGAAAGAGAGAGAGAGAGAGAGATACAAAAAAAAGAGAGAGAGAGAGAGCGTAACAGAGAGAGAGAGAGAGATACAGAAAGGGCAGGGAGAGAAACAGAGAGAGGCCAATGATGCCTCTGTATAGTCTGACTGATTCGGTCAGCAGGAGCCTCTGGCATGGGCCTGGCTGAGTCCTCAGCCCCATCGCCCACTACAAACCTCCAACTCCCCTTTCCCCCATGACAAGGCACTTCATTGATCACTGCTGCTGGACAACCATCAGTCCCACATAGTGGGATAGCAGATTCCCGATGCTCCTTCATCGGATGCTGCCCCCCTCTGCCCGCTGAATTGGTGGGGAGGTGGTGGTGGCTGCTCTGTTTCTCTCCCTGCCCTCTCCTGTTCTGTCTCTCTCTCTCTCCTGTTCTGTCTCTCTCTCTCTCTGGAGAGAGAGAGAGAGAGAGAGCAGGGCAGGTGGAGAAACAGAGAGAGGGGCAGGGCCACATCCTTACCCGCTGAATCGTCCGCTGGCGCGCAGGACCTTTCGAGGCGCGTCCCGCCGAACGCTGACGCGGCGCGACCGCAGCGGCCTGCGCGGCTGCGTCGGGCCCCCAAGGCCGGCCCTGAAGCCGCGCACCAGAGGTCACTGTAGTCTACACCCTGCGAAATGCTTAAGAAATCATGGATTAAGAAATTCATAGTCTCAGAAATGGGATAAAACCCAGAGCTTCTATCAAAATCTGGGGATTTACATTGAAAAGTTAAGAATTCGCCGGCCCAACGGGCCAGGGCGTGCTAAGATCTCCAGTACCTGGTTAACAGTATTTCTAGTTCGCGCGCGCGGGGCGGCCCCTGGGGGTCCCCGGACGAAAAGTACCCCGGCAAGGTCCCGGCAAGGTCGGGTCAGAGATGCCGGAGTTCTGTTTCGGAGTCCAAGAGGGCTCCAGATCGGTCCAAGAGGGCCCCGAGAAGCCTTCTAGACGGTCCAAGAGAAGCCCGAGACGGCCAAAGATCGCCCGAAGACGCCCCAGATGGCCCCAAGACAGCCCAAGAGGCCTCCAAGACGCTCCAAGGGCCTTCCAAGAGGCCTCCGAAGAGGGCCCCAAGTTGCCAAAATCGTTGATTTTCATTGGTTTTTTCTATGTTTTTTTGCGTTCTGGCCTTTTCGCTTCCGGACGCTCCAAGAGGGCCCAAGAGGCCTTCAAGACTGCTCCAAGACGGCCCACGAGGCTCCCAAGACGGCCCCGGAGCGGCCCAAGAGCGCCCCCCAGACGGCCCAAGTGCTGCCCAAGGCGGACCAAGAGGCCCCAAGACGGGCCCAAGAGGGGCTCAAGAAGGGAACCGAGAACTGAAAAATCGAGCCCTCCGCCCCAGAAGGCGCCCAGGACCCCGAAAGAGGCCCCAAGAGACTCTCCAAGACACCCCCAAGACGCCCCAATAAGCTCCCGTGAGGCCCCAAGAGGACCAACAACGTCAGGCCCCAGGCCCCAAGAGGACCAACAAATACCGCCAAGAGCCCGCCGAAAGCCCCCCAAGAGACCGTCACGAGAGCTCAGGAGGCCCCCTGGAGGCCTCCCGAGTTCTCCAAGAGGCCTAAAAAGAGGCGCCAAGAGGCCCCAAACGGCCCCACCGAGGCTCCAAGAGGCCACGAACGCGCAAGCAAACGCCTGCGATGGCACAATACGGGCCGGCGGAATGAGCGAAGCGATTAAATCATCGAGACTCTGGACGAAAACTTAGGTTTTCTTAAGCATCGCCTAGGGTGTAGGGCCACTCTTGCGCGTAGTCGCGCCATGGCTGGACTCGCATCGAAGTGCTGGTCAGAACGCCACCCAGGCGAGGGCCGTGGAGTAGCGGTATTGGCATCGTTTCCGGAGCCTCCCACATGGGGTCCGAGCCGGTGGGGCCGCAGGATCGCGCCACATCGCCGATGCATCGCCGACGCATTGGCGACGCTTACAATGCATCGGCGCTGTCAGAGTGGAGAAAATAGGGCTTTACATCAAGCCGCATCGCCCATGCGCCCGAGGTGCGGCGCGATCCTCGAACCCCAACTGCTGACCCCACTTGGGGTGCTAGGAGCTTTCCGCTCTCCTGCGCAGTTTGTCGCGCCAGATCGTTTTGGGGGGAGGTGGTGGTGCGCTGCTCTGTTCGGGACGTCTTTCCCTTATGCAGTGACCACCACCACCACCACCCCTCACAACATGTCACACCAGTAGGGATCAGAAACACAGCCAGGGCAGCGCTGGGATTCAAGGGACGTGCTTGAGTGCAGCCGGAGCCGCCCGAGCACCGACCTGACCAACCAGCCGTGGAACTGCCGCATCAGGTAGAGGAAAAAGAACTATGCACATACACCGATTCTGGCCAGGCCCATCCCGAGCCCAGGATCGGTGCATACGCCCCCCATACCTTGGCCGGGAAGGCATATGCACCGATCCTGGGTCGAGGATGGGCCTTGCCAGGATCGGTGCATGTGCACAGTTCTCCTCGCCCGAATCGGGGCCGGCACGAGTCGGGTCAGAACTCGGGCCTCCCGGGCATCGCCTGCAGGGACTCGGCCGACCGGCACCAGACCCGCGGATATGCACGAGCCGAGCCTCGGGCGAGGCCTCACCGACCCCCGGCAGGCCACCCCCTGCCGCGACGCCATCCTCGCCCTTCGAACTTCCCTCCGGCCGCACACAGACCATGCGGGCGCGGCCGCAGGAAAGCCTCGCAAGAAACCCAACCCTTACAACCCGCGCGCGAAGTGCACCGCAGGGAAAACCTCGAGCACTCTGAACGCAGCAGCTCCTTCAACGGCCGCGGGAAGTCGCCGCGCAGCGCGCGGAGCGAAGAGAAACCCAGAATACCCTGACGAAGAGCATCTGGTTCCTTGTTGCGCGCCCCCCCTGTACGTCTCGGGACGAGGCGAGGGGGCGTCACGGAAGGGAGGGTTTGCCAGGGGTCGGTGAGGCCGCCCCTGACAGCCAGGTCGCCTTCGCCCCCAGGCGCCGCACGATTGCCGCAAAGGCTCCGAGCCGTGACGCTGCCCGGGCCGGCGGGACAAGGCCCGGGAAGCGGAGATCGGAGCGCAGCCGCCGCCTCTCAGACCAGCAGGCGGCTCTCAGGTCGCCTCCGGCGCCTCGGCCGCCGCGGGGGCGGCCACGCCGGTGTCGCCCATGGTGCCGCCGAACCCTGAGGGAACAGTCGTCCCGTATGATCAGGACGCACGGTAAGGACGCAAGGGCCTTGGAAGGCCATGCCGACACTTTGCGAGCGGGGCGCGGCCAGCGAAAGCGGCCAAGGATGGACCGAGGGGGAAGGATGCAAGGGTAACCTTGGAAAGTTGTGTATCCTCTTCTCATGCGGGCTGCCTGTGTCAATGAGACGGGGTGCACCTACGTCCGGGAGCTTCTGCCTAGCGTGTCGCGGCGGCGGCCCCGGCGACACACTACGCCGCGTGTCAGGAGGAGGAGGAGTCGGAGGCGGAGGCAGAGGCGGAGGCGGAGGCGGAGGCGGAGGCGGAGGCGGAGGCGGAGACGGAGGCGGAGGCGGAGGCGGAGGCGGAGGCGGAGGAGGAGGAGGAAGAGGAGGAGGAGGAGGAGGAGGAGGAGGAGTTCCGCTTGGCTGGGAAAGGCTCGGGCCGCTGACGCCTGGGGGCCATCGGCGCGTCGCGCCGCAGCGTGGTGGGCCAGAACCCGCGGCGCGACACGCTGAGCAAACGTCCTGGCCGTATCCACCCCGCCACACCCCACCACGTCCTCCTCCTCCGCCTCCTCCTCCTCCTCCTCCTCCTCCGCCTCCTCCGCCTCCTCCTCCTCCTCCTCCTCCGCCTCCTCCTCCGCCTCCTCCTCCTCCGCCTCCTCCTCCTCCCACTCCCTACCCCTTCCCTTCTCCTATCCCTCCCTCCGTCCAGGAGATGGGTGGCCGCACAGCTTTTCCACCCTGGCCTATGCCCTTTGGGCCGAAGAGCTTGCCGTGGTCGGCCTCACAGTATGGCCAGCCGTCGTGCTCTCTGTACTGACCGCCGCGCAGCGACTTCCCGCACGCCCTGCAGCAGAAGCAGAGCGCGTGCCATGACCTCGGACATTGCCGTCGACACGCCAGCACGAGGATCACAGCACACCCGATACGACATCGAACCAGCAATTGGCGAAGTTCGAACGATGGCTGGCAACCTCCTCTTCGACCCGCTGACTTTTCACAGGACGTCCGGAGCCATGCCCAAAGAGCAGCGCTTCTAGCTAGGCGAGCTGCACCAACATCCACCACCGTGTCCTCTGGCACGTTGAAGCGTAGTAGAATGCCAATTGCTGTCTGGTAGGGTTTCGATCAGTCTTCTACCCCTCCCCCCACCCCCCACGCACCACACTCAGAATCATGCACCACCACCTCTCCCGAGAGACTTGGGTGCTTCGACGCCTCCCCAAAGTTCCCCAAGGCTCTCCGAGGGTCTCCAAAGCTTCCAGTCGTCCACCAAGGCCGCCAGGATGGCCCAACATCGCCTCAAGACGCACCTGCGAGCCCCTAAGAAACGCCAAATGGGTCCCAAGAGGCCTCCGACAGGCTTCACGAGACCCCCAGACCGCTCTCCGGGAGTGCCTCGAGAAGCCAACCACAGATTCCTGTTCTGCAAACTTGTCAGTGCTTGTTGCTTCTACGATCTTCGCCCGAAGATCGGTCCACTTGCGGCACTCGAGGGCCCACGGGGCCCTCCGAGAGCCCCAAGACAGCGGGCCCAAGAGGGCCTCCAGAGGGAGCCAAGACGGCTTCATGGGACTCAGAACGGATTCAAAGAGCCCCCAGACGGCCCATGAAGTTCCCAAGACGGCCCCACGACGTCCCCAAGAGAGACCCCCAGACGGCCAAGAGAGCCCCAAGACGGCTCAAGACTCAAGACGTCCCGGGGACGGCCCAAGAGGCCCCAAGGGACCCCAGAGACTGCCCCGCACGAGCCCAAGACAGCCTCAAGGTGGCCCCCATAGTTCCCACGAGCGCTTCCTGGCACGTGAAGACAAGAGGCGCCACATGTGACGGCTTCCCTCTGGATTGCGCTCGAAGGTTCGCCACACAGAGTGCGTCGCTGGCACGGTTGCGGATTTGCCGCAGGCACCCGGATACGACTGGAACTCGCTCCGACCAGGCTCGGCATTGCCGCATACCGTGGACCCCCTGACTTGGCCACGCCAGGGAAGCACGCACATCTCTGCCGACCAGCCGCGCGCCAGAGCCGGGTCTGTGCTGGCGTGTTGACCATAGGGGAGCGAAGAATGGCATAAACATGAAAACTCGGAGGTCCGCGCGGATGTCTCGGATCCGCGCTGGACGCCCCTGGCGCACTCCGCGCGCCAGGGAGGGGGGGTCCAGCGCCGATCCGAGAAATCCGCGAGGACCTCCGAGTTGTTATGCCTGTGCCACTCTTCGCTCCCCCTGAGGCCTCTCCTTCTGCCCCCCCCTCTTTGTGAATTCTGGCCTCGCGCCGCCCGCTCAGCCTCGACCAGAAGAGGTGCGCCCTCGACCCGCGAATCAAGAAAAAAACTCTTCGCTCCCCCGAACCACTCCCCGAGATCTGGCGCGGCGACGAGGCCCGACGCCGCAGGGAGACCCGCCCGCGGGGCTCTCGACCCCGCCGCCCTGCGGCACCCCTCGAGCTGCACATCGGCCCGCGGGGGCTCCCCGGGGCCTCGCGGCCTCCCGCGGCGGGCCATCTTTGGCGCCCGCCGCGGCTCCCCGCGGCGCCCGCCCTCGCGAGGGCTTTTACGCGGGGCCGCTCCCGGGGGGACCGGTCCAGCGCCTTCATCTCCTCGTCGGGGGCGCCCGAGGGGGGGCGGCGCCCTTCCCAGACCCCCGACGTCATGAATTTTTCATGACGTCGACCCCCAGAGGTCCAGACCCATTCCCCGGGACCCGTTTTTCGTCCTGAGTCGTTTTTTGACGGTCCCGAGGGCCGGTAAGGGCCCCCAGAGGCCGAAAATCATGAAAAACCTCGCGTCGTGATTTTTTCATAACTCGAGGGGGTCTGGGTAGAGGGGGGGGGGGCGGGGGAGCTCCTCCTGGCCCACGGCACGCGCGCGGCCCCACGGGGGCGGGGACGCGCTGAAACGAGCCGCGGTGCCGTGGAAGAGCCGGGGCCACGGGGAGCTGCCACATGGCCCCCGCCCCGCGAGGCCCCCCCCCCCCCCCCGGGCAGCCCCCCCGTCGTCGGCCGCCCCCCGCCTCTGCGGCGTAGACGCTCTTCGCGCAGGCCGGGCACTTGGGCGCCCCGCCGCCGAGCGCGAGCGCCCGGGGCGCGGGCCTCTCCGCCGGCGCGTCGGCGGCGGGCGGCGCCCCGCCGCTGCTCGGCGGGGGCCGCGGCGGCGGCGCGCCCCCGGAGGGCGCCGCGCCCTCGGGCGGCGGGGGCCGCTCTCGCACGCCGGAGGCGTCGGGGGCCGCGGTGATGCCGGAAGGAGGGGCGATCGGCACGAGCAGAGGGCCTCTCGGAGGCCCGCGCATGGATTCCTCGGATCGGCGCCGGGCCGCCCCGGCGCCGCCCCGGGCGCCTCCCCGGCGAGCTGCGCGCGCCAGGGCAGGGGGGAGGCCGGCGCCGAGGTGCAAGAGGAAGCCGCGCAGACCTCCCGAAGTCTGTGCTCCTGCACTCGTCTCTTCTTCGGGCGATGCCCGTGTCGCCCATGGTGCCGCCGAACCCGATGCCCTTCGGCCCGAACAGTCTGGCGTGGTCCGCCTCGCAGTAGGGCCACCCGTCGTGCTCGCGGAACTGGCCGCCGCGGAGGGACCTGCCGCACGCCCTGCAGCAGAAGCAGAGCCTGTGCCAGGAGCGGCCCAGGGCCTTCTCCTCCTCCGGATAGCCATAAGCTGTTGGAGATGGTCCGCGCGAATTCTCTTCGGTCCGCGGTGGGCCCCCCTTGCTGGCGCGCGGAGCGCGCCAGGGGCGACGCCGGAGGCGCCGCCAAGGAGGTCCAGCAACGATCCGAGACGTCCGCGCGGAACTCCGAAAGGTTTTCTCCGCCACCGTGCCCCCTGGCACCTTGGGACGTGCCAGAATGCGAAGTGCTGCCTGGCAGGTTTCTAGCCCCCCACCCACACTGGCCCGCATGAATCGCCCCCTCTCCCAGGGCCAGAATCCCTTGCAAAATGCGAAAGGTTCGCACTCATGAGGCCAGAATCCCTCGTAAAATAATGCGAATTCGCGTTCCCGAAGCCAAGATGCCTCCAAGACGGTCCGAGATTGCTCCAAGACGGCCAACTGAGATCTCAAGACGGCCCAAGGTAGCCCTCAAGACGGCCCAAGAGGCCTTCGATATGTCCCAAGAGAGCCCCAAGAGCCTTCCCAAGAGGGTCTCGAGAGGCAACAATCAGTGATCTCGTTAAGGTGTTTCTACATGTTTGTCTGGGTTCTCGCCTTTTCGAGCTCAAGACGTCCCAAGACTGCCCAAGAGGCCCCCAAGAGAACCCTAAAACGTCCAGAGGGCCCCAAGACGGCCCAAGAGACTCCAAGAAGGCCCAAAGACTCCAAGAAGGCCCAAGAAGGACGAAAGAGGGCCCCAAGATGGCCCAAGGCGGCACCCAGGGGCCTTCAAGACTGCCACACAGGAGGCCAAGACAGCCACAAAGCGGCCCAGACGAGTTCCATGAGGACTAATCGACTAGTGAAGACAATAAATATCACATGTGGCGGCCTTCCTCTTCCTCGTCTTCCTCCTGCTCTTCCTGTTCCTCTACCTCCTCCTTCACATTACCCTCCTCCTCCTCCTCCTCCTCCTCCCCCTCCTCCTCAGCCTGCTCCTCATTACAACTACCACCACCACCATCATCATCACCATCATCAGCATCATCATCATCAGCAGCAACAGCATCATCATCGTCATCATCATCATCATCAGCAGCATCAGCATCATCAGCATCATCAGCAGCAGCAGCATCAGCATCATCAATACTACCATCAGCATCTTCATCAGCAGCATCATCATCAGCATCATAATCATCACCCTCCTCATCATCCTCATCATCCACATCCTCATCATTCATCCTCGTCCTCCTCCTAATCCTTCTCTCCTCATCCACTTCATCCTCCTCATCCTCATCCTTCTCGTCCTTCATCCTCATCCTCGTGTTCCTCCTCCTCCTCCTCCTCCTCCTCCTCCTCCTCCTCATCATCATCATCATCATCGTCATCATCATCGTCATCATCATCATCCTTATCACCATCATCATCATCATCAACAACAACAACAACAATAGCAGCACGGCTCTCCAAAGCCTGGGGACACGAGGTGACACACGTGACGGCCTCCGTGCCCCCTCGAACAGTCTCCACGCAGAATGCATGGCTAGCGCGGTGGCGGGACTTGCAACAGGCAGCTGGATATGGTCGCGCCGATCGTTCCTCCCCGATCCTGGGCAACCTTCGTCCGCTCTGGTTTCGCCCGCTTCTTTTTCGTCCGCTGTTGTTTCGTCCGCTCATGTTTCGTCCGCTCTTGTTTCGTCCACTTTTGTTTCGTCCGCTTTTGTTTCGTCCGCTTCTGTTTCGTCCGCTTCTGTTTCGTCCGCTTTTGGTTCGTCCGCTGTTTTGGTTCGTCCGCTCTTGTTTCGTCCGCCTATGTTTCGCCCGCGTCGGTTTCGTCCGCTCGTGTTTTGCGTGATTCGTGTGGAAACTGGGGGGGTGAAAACCGGATGGATCTAGCCGGGAACATAAAAAACGGATAGATCTAAACCGGATAAACAAAAAACCGGAGAAATAAAACCAAATGAAGTTAAAACGGATGAACTTAACTTAGCCCCGATGAATGAAAACCAGATAATCTTAAACCCGATGAACTTACACCGTAAAAAAGAAAGCCGGATTAATTCAAACCGGGAAACTGAAAACCGGACGATTTCAAACCGGGCGAATCAAAACCGGATGAAAACCAGATGACTTCAAACCAGATGAATTTAAACTGGATGGATTTAAACCGGATGAGCTTAAACAAGATGATTAAAAAAACCGGATGACATAAAAACTGGTGAACTTAAACTGGATGAATTAAAACCAAGCGAACTTGAACCAGTGAACTAGAATTTAAAATGGGTATGAAAAAAACTGATAAATGTTAACCGGGCGACTTGAAACCGGATGAATAAAAACCAAATGTACTTAAACTGGACGAATTTCAACAGTATGAATTGAAAACGGACGAATTAAAAACACATGAACCTAAACCGGATGAATTGAAACCAAATGGATCTAAACCGGGTGGCTCAAACCGAAAGAATGACAACCAAATTAATTTAAACCGGAACCATGAACACCGGATGAATTTAAACCGGGTGAATTCAAATGGGGTGAATTTAAACTGGCAAATCAGAATTTGTATGAATTTCAACTGGGCGAATTAAAGCCGGATGAAATTAAACCAGACGAAACCAAACCGGATGAATTTAAATCGGATGAATTTAGTCGGACGAATTGAAACCGGATGAATTTCAAGTGGGCGAATTCAAGCCAGATGAATTTAATTGGGCGAAGTAGAACCGGATGAATGAGAACCGGGCGAAACAAAACCGGATGGATTTGATTTGGCGCGCGTGACAAAATTCTTGTGTAATTGGGCTGCTCAATAGTTGCTTTCGCTCTCTTTGGTCAAGTGGTTGTCGCGATCTACAGAGCGTGGCCCTTGGGCACCGCGAAGGGATCGATCTGCCACGGGTCACGGCCCTAGGAAAAACTTCGACCCAGGGAAACGAGCTCAACCTGGGATGCGGGAGTGCGAAAGCGCGACCCACGGAAACCGAACCACGAACCCGGGAATCGCGGGACGCGCCGAATCCGGAAAATACAGATGGCGCGAGGCGTAGAAGGAGAGGGCGAGGAGGTTCACCTCAGACATCCTCGCAATTCGGGGCTTCGATCGAGATGCTGCGCACGAGGTGGTCTGGCCCGTCCGGCCCGTGTCGCCTGAGATATCCTCGAAAATCCAGGCTCCTTCAAGATGTGCGCGAGGTGGTCCAGCTCGTTTCGCCTGAAACATCCTCGCAACTCTTAGCTCTCAGAACATGTGCGCGAGGTGGTCGGGCGCGTCCCTCTTCAGACATCATCGCAACTCTGGGTTCCGAGATGCCGCGCCAGAGCTGGTGGAGAGGGGGGAGGAGGGAGAAGGAGGAGGAGGAGGGGAAGGGGTGGAGGGAAGAGTTGTATATTGCATTACCGTTAGGAGTGGGGAGGGGAGAGGAGGGGAGGGGAGGAGGGAGGAAGTTAGAGTGAGGAGGGAGGATCGAGGGTGGAGGGAGGAGGATGGAGGGAGAAGGACGAAGAGGAGGATAGGATAGTAGTTTTGTTTCACTCCCTGGCCCCCGTCGCCGTCGTCGTGGCATCACAATTTTGGCTCGGCTCCCACGGCGCTGCCACGTGACGCGCTGCATTCCATTGCGTTGCATTGCATTGTACTGGATTGCATCATGTTGCGTTGCATTGCCTTGCACTGCGTTGCATATGCGTTGCGTTTGCCATACGTTTCATTGAAATACACAGCGGGCGAGGGAAAGGACAGGAGGGAGGAGAAGGAAGGAAGGTATAGAGCAGGGGAGGAAGGAGGAGTGAGGAGGTCAGGAAGAAGGCGGAGGGGAGAGGGAGGAGGGAGGAAGGGGGAGGAAGGAGGGAGGAGGGAGGAGGGAGATGGGAGGAAGGAGGACGAGAAGAATTGGATAGAAGTGTTGTTCACCTCCCTGGCCCTGGTCATCGTCGTCGTCGTCCTCGTCGTCGTTGTGGCACAAGGGTTTTCTCGCACCACGCGGCGCTGCCACGTGACGACTGAACTGAATCATGTTTCTTCCCGCCTCCAATTGTTGCCATGTGGCGAGTGCAATGGCACTGTACTTTTGCGTCGGCCCCCGCAACGTTGCCACGTGACGAAAGGAGTGGAATAGTTGCTTCTTTTTTCCGACCCCCGCGGCGCTGCCATGTGACGAGTCAAGTGGATGGAATAATGCTTCCTCGCACCCCCAGGCGTTGGCATGTGGCGCGTGGAGTGGCTTAGTATTGTTTATTGGCTCCGCGGCGTTGTCACGAGGCGAATCATGGAATTGTATTTTGTCGATCCCCGCCAGGCGGTGCCACGTGGCGGATAGAGTGGAATAGTATGTTTTCTAATCCCAGCGGCGCTGCCACGTGGCAGCCGCCCAATCAACCAGCCAACCAACCTACCTGCCTACCGACCGACAAGCCACCAGCCAACCAGTCGGTCAACCAACGATCCTGTTGCGGTGCATGCACTGCATTGCCTTGAATTTGCATTGAGTATGCAGTATATGGCATTGCAGAAAATTGCGGGCGAGGGCGAGAACAAGAGGGAGAAGGGAGGA